TACTTTGTAGGGGTGATACAGTATTGAGGATTTAAAACAAAAAATTATTGACGTCTGCCAAAATATTGATCATCACATGTTAAGCCGTGTGAGAGAGGAAACACTGCAAAGATGGTACCACTGCCAAGAAGTTCAGGGTAATCATATCGAACAATTTATTTAATAGTTTGTTCTTAATAAATAACATATTCAATAACAACACTAAGCCAATTTGTCAACCGTTACGTATACTAGCAAAATCTTTGATAAAATTTTTTTTATCTTATCATTTCTTATATTTACTTTGATTTTTTCTTTATAAATATTTTTTGATTAAATATGATTAATTCATAAATTTAATATACTTCCACCCAACGTTTATTTTATTTCTAAAAAAAAAAGTAATTGAACTAGAAATTTTAAGTGAGTCTTAGCTCGAACGTATACCGAGCGTTAACCTACCGTCCACCATTTACCTGGTCGATTGCATTTCGACAGGTAGTCGACGAAGATACGTTGGTTTTTGCGGCGAAATTCCGCATTTTATTTAATTTTTATTCGAAAAACTAATAAATCGATATTTGATTGTGAGGTACCGTTGGATTCGTATCGTTTTCATCTTTCGGAAGATACCATAATATACTGGGTGTTCCATTAAAAAAAACGAAGTTGATCCATTTTCCGGAAAAACTAAAAGTGATAGCAAAATTTTTTGTAAGAAAATATTTGTGCTGATAAAATATAGAAACTGACGTTTTTTTGTTCATATTGATATCTCAATCTGTTCGGAAGTTAAGAAGGGGGGGGTTACTTTATGCTAGCACTGTATAACTCTTGTATAAATATCTCTTTATGTATAAATATAGTTCTCTGTGTAAATAATTCTTTGTGTAAATAAATTCTCTGTGTAAATACATACAACTTGCAAACAATGAAGATACGTACATATAATACATATATCTCTCTGTGTAAATAAATAATTACATCGAACAAACAAACAAAATCATGGTAAGGTAAGTCTATTTTCTATTTTCTTTTCAGGTATTTCTTTTAGGCAAATATTTCATTACAGTGACAAAACAAAAACAAAATCAAGACACTTCCTGCTTTCTTTTTACAAAGATGGCATCAACATATCTTTTAAATACCTCAAACCTGTCCCTTCTGGTCATAACAATTTTATAATCCACTGTATCCCATCCTGTAGTCTCCTTTTCCAATTCGTACTCAATTCTGAGATCATTATATTTTCGACACGATTCAATCATATGGAATACTGGTTCTATTTCTCTACACGTGCATAGTNTAATTTTACCTTTTACATGCTCAAGGTGCGGCAAAAATGACCAGCCCTCATCCACGATCACTCCCAAGTATTTTATATTTTTACTGTATTTTATACCATCATCACCAACCTTAATGATTGGGTTACGATGTAATTTATCCTTTAATAGAATCATTTCAGTTTTATGTTTTGCAATCGAAAGTTTATTATCTGTCAGCCAATTATTTATTTCGTTCATCGAATGATTCCCTCTCACCTCTAATTCAGTTCGACTGTTTCCTTCAACCAATACGAAAATGTCATCCGCATAAGCAACCACATTGACTCCTTCATATTCTTTATGTAATAATTCGTCCAACAAAATAGACCAGAATCAAGGGCCCAATAATGAGCCCTGCGGACACCCTCTCGTTATCGCAGTTGTTATTTTGTTTTCACCTGCGCTTATTGTAAGACTTCTATCCCTAAAATAATTATGTATCAAATTATATATTACCTTCGAAACCTTAGCTATTTCCAGTCTTTGGAGCACTGAGGGCCACCAGACATTGTCAAATGCCCCGGCCACATCTATACATATCCCTAAAACATATTTTGAATCCGTGGTATTTTTAATCTCTCTTGCCCTTAGAAGTGCATCCACCGGCTTTGTTCCCTTTCCTGCTTTAAAACCGTATTGATTTTTACTCTCCAACCCCATTTCTTTGTATTTAACCTCTATTTTATTCCATATGATACTTTCCAGCAATTTTCCCATCACAGGCAGCAACGATATTACCCTATAAGCCCTTGGATCAGACGATATTTTATTTACCTTTTTGGTAAGCAGAGCTGCTTCAGCTTGCTTCCATTTCGTAGGAAAAGTTTGAGTCTCAACACACATGTTCAATATTGTCTTGATTATGCCTGGCTTGTAATTCCAAACACTGCGCAGGTACTCAGGATAGATCCCATCGTTCCCTGGCGCCTTTCCCATTTTCATTATTTTCATTGCTACGCCTATTTCATGCATACTAATCCAGTCTCTTTCATGAAACATTTCGTGTCTTAACACATCTGCCATAATGTCATCGTTAGCACCACCTACAACCAGAGCATTTATCACAGTTTTAGCCGTTTCTTCCCAGCCCCTTGTTTCAACATCATTCATTGTAAGAGAATTATACAAATTTCTAATCTTTACTTTCTTCATACATAGCTTATAAAAACAACCCAAGGATCATCACTATTGCTCTCAACGGATCTCTGCCAGCACTGTCGCTTTACCTTAACAATCTTTTCTTTATATTGTTTTAGGCGAGCCCTGTATTCTAACTTTATTCTCGTTATTATTACCTCTTCCGCACCCTCATTTATTTTATTTCTCATTTCCTTTCTCAATCTTTTCACTATTCTTTTGTCATTCTCCAACTCTCTATTCCACCGTCTGTTTTTACTAAAACCTTGTTTGCTTCTATTTGGAAGCATAACACTCATAACATAATTCATTGACTCATTTAACATATTAACCATTTCATTTACATCTTTCATTTTGTTTAGTTCCCAAACAAATTTATTATCGAAAACCCCTCTCATTTCATCTTCCACCCTATCCCATTTTACCTTTCTTACATTACCACCTTCAGTAGTTTTATTAATATGGTTTTCTGTTTCAGGTGCAGCCCCCATATGGACCCGATAGAGAAGACTTCTATGGTCAGAGGCAGTCGTAGACAGGACCCGCCACTCAGTTATCATAGACAGCGCTGGACCGGATACCATCGTAACATCGATATTTGAGGACCCGTTTAAAGTTTCAAATGTAGGCAAGTTTCCAGGCTCATTGACTATATATAAATCTTTCGACAAAATGAACTCTTGTAATGCCTCTCATGTCTGGCAATATTGACAGTAACGTCACAATCAACAACTGAATTAAAAAGCACTATAATGAAGAATATAATGCCAAAAAGTGTAATAGAATTTTTACATGCGGCCAGCAATATATCCATATCTACATGTGGATAACCCAATTACTCATAAACTTTCAAATTAAGAAGAGAGAAGATTTTTAATAAAGAGTAAATAACTAAGCGAGAATCTAAACTTAATAGAGGGATAGACACTGGTGAGGTGACTGAATTGGAAGGCAAAGAATAAAACTTTTTTTTTAAACAGTGTATTTATTTACGTTTTAGCTCTATATAATATATACATTTCAAGTAAAATAAAATATGTACAAGTAGCTAGATGGTTATTGAAGATTTTCGCAGTTCCTATACTTCGGCATTTACCTGGGGTTTTTAACTTTCCTTCTTGTCCTTGAGGAGGATGGTGGTGTGTCTGTAGCTCGTGTATTGTTGTCGCAAAAAATAAAACAGTCATTATAACAATTTATTATAACAGTATGTGATGTGTCAGTCTGTGTGTGGTTGTGAGGTTTGTGTTGTGTTTATTTGTAGTTCTTAGGTGGGAAGTGTAGGAGTAGTTTTTCACTGATCGGTTGAAAAATTTGGTTGTGTTTTTGATTTCGGATTGGATTGTGGGTATGTTAACGGTCTCGTGAAGGGTCTTTATGGGTGTTCTCACATTTGGGTATAGTGCCAGTGGGAGTGCTTTGGATGGCTTGGAGCTTGTTGTAATTTGTTTTGCAGGCATTACTAAAGATTGGACAGGCGTAGAGGAGGAATTGGGAAGCAGTTTTTGAGTTAATCTCTATTGATGAGAAGGTTAATTATTTTAATGAGACACTATTAGCTTTGTTTGACGTCTATGCCCCTACTGTCACTCGGGTTGTAAAAAAAACTCTTTACCTTGTATAACCTGGAATATTAAAAAAATGATAAAAGTAAAAAATGCTGCGTTTA